ACAGACTAGCTTTTTATGTCATCTTTGATGAACATACCTGATCACCCACTGTTAAATAACAATCACCCACTGTTCACTAAGGAGAGGAAAGGTTGTAGGTCCGTAGGCTTAGCCACAAAAAGGAGTTCGACTGGGAAGGACAACTCGCGCAAATGCCAGGTTGGGTTTGGGTCCAGGAATCCTCAATACCCAACCTGGACAACCCGTCTGACGGGTTACTGGCAGAGTCGATCCATTCAAACCACGGTCGAATCTGGCGTTTCTGGAAAATCAGATGTGACAGCTGGACAATGGTGTGAACGTCTTCTTGTCCGCTGGAACCTTTAATTAATGAGGAAACAGCAGCCTCATTATCAACGAACCAGAGGAGATCTCGACCCTCCAGGAGATCACCATGGACCCACGGCACGAGGAGTCCACAAAGCGTCTCTCCAGGGTAGATCTGCTGATGACGTGTTATCCAGGTATCTGTCACTTCCGATGGGACGAGACACGACACTCCTAATGGAGGTGAGGTCATAAGTACCCATCCCACTCGTAATGCACCGTTTTCGAAGGATGCATCCGAGTAAATCACCAGGGGGGATTTGGTAGCGGAGCACACCTCAACATCCCGGGGCCTGGCTGTGCGAAGCATGATGCTGAGAAGTTGGAGGGTGGTGGCCTCAGATTCCAGTAGGACAGGGGATGAGGCATGTTGCTTTGCCGCCAGCACAGGGCCAGCAAAGCGGCCTGCATGTCCTGCGCACATGCTGAAAAGCCAGTTGAGGTCACCACGAAGTTTCCCCGCATCATCTGGGCGGAGTTGCTTGGTCACAATCGCCTCGTGGAGCTTGGCTTGGACTTTCATGGTTGTGGAAGTCTTTGGTTGGAAACGGATGACCCCCAACCAGCCAAAGTCTCCTACATGGACAGATGTGCCCAGGTAGTGCCTATTGGGTGCAGGTGCGAAGCTCTTGGAACTCTGCGGTGGGGCGCCTAACAACTTGAACACAAGTTGTAGGTTTCTTTGGGAGACATCGCAATCACGAATGCACTCCACTGCCAGTTCGTCATCAAAGTACGCAGCTGCACACCCTAATAGGCAGCGCCTAGTGATGGCGATACCAAGTTGTGGGAAACGGTTGAAGTTCACCACAGCACTTTCCAAGCCATACGCCAGACCCCACATACATGTGAATCTCCAGCCCACCCCCGGCACGAAAATAGCCACATTTGAAAAAGGTAGGTGGGAATCGGCGACAGGCAAACCCCGATAGGCATCCGGTAGGTCATCCGTACCCAGACGGAGGTCCAGCCATTCTGGGGGTTCCC